TCATTAGTTAACCTCTGACTTTGGGTCTCAGTTTTCTTTTTAGTAAAACAAGGTCAAGAGTAGCCCTGTATGTTGTGAGGCAGAACTGAAAGATTGCATTTGAAACCATTTGGTAAATTGCAAAGCATTCTTAAGTGATATTGTGAGCTCATAGGTTGCTTGGTCAGTAAAAGGGTACCATGTAGTCAAGTACAGTAAGAACTTTCTGCTGCACCTTGCCTGCCTTACTTGCCCTTGTCAATTTAGAAAAGTTATGCATTGTCAGTGAATCTCAGTCTTTCTATTTACAACCTGAAAAGATGCCTTATACAGAGAAAAGAGCAATGGAGTCTAGCATTCTATGACTCCTACTGTTTCAAACCTTCGAAAATCTTTATAATAAAAGTAACAGGCAACTGTATCATTGCAGTTCATAAATTACTAGCAGCTCTCATTTTATGAAGTGTTTTTGATGGGCCAGACAGTGTGTAAAGCACTTTATAGACATTATCTTGGCATCACACATGGACAGACATCTCGAATTGCACTCAGTAGATGCCACTCCAAGTTGCACTGCACCACAACAAAAATGTTAAGAATAGATTCAAGAGCCTAAAAACGTAGGTTAAAATCCGGGCTTTATGCCTTAAACTGAATGATCTCTACTACCCAGTTTCTTATCTGCTTATTACAAATAGGACCACTGTGAGTTCCTCACAGGTTGTTATGAAAATTAAATTAACACCATATATAGAGAATATGCAGTTTCTGGAACAGTATTAGGTTTTTTGGGTTGTTTTGTTTTGTTTTGTTTTGTTTTGAGCATCTTCACCTACTAGCAAATGCTTTGGGTAATGTACCTAAGCCTTCTAGACCTCAATTCTGTCTTTAAGATGAGGATAAGAATTCCTAATGTCATACTAGCAGGAGTATTAGTATTAGATAACGTATAAACTGTAAAATACTGCAGATATGTTAGTTTACGTTTTCACCAAATTTCTTTTTTTGTACTTTGTGCTTTACACAAATCCCAGTAAGTGACCGAGCATGCTCTGGCCAGAAATTTCTGGAATAAATTAAAATTCCAAGAAAACTGTGCCTTTTATCACCTAGAGCAGTTATCTCTCTTGGGCTATCTATGCTTCACATCAGCAGCTTCCCCAGAGTCATCTAACTTGACAGTATGATACTGTGTGGATTAGTATCAGCAATCCTTAAGATTCAGTGGGCTGCAAGACACCTGGGATCCATCTCTTCTGTTGATTCACCGGATAGCAAAGAACAACATTCCCAGATGTTCACCCATACAATACCCAACAGGCCTAAAAAGATTACAAGTGAGATCAGTATGAGTTCCTTCCTCATGACAGTAATAAGGAGCATGGGAGTAGAAAAGGATCTTGCTGAGGTGAATAGGTGTTATGGAAAGAACTGAAATAATTGAACTATTTTTAGCTCAGAGTTCTTAAGTACTGTGCTCAGTGACAGATACTTGAACAGCTTATTGGCTTTTTAAACTATATTTATACATTGTACAGGCCAAAGGAAATATACTGCTTAAGGGCCCACATAGAACTGCTTTGATTAAAAAATATAAACATTATTACTAGACCATATGAATTGTTTCATCTTACTAATAACACAACTCATTCAAAAATTTTTAAAAGCTGTTTTTATGTTTTTATCTGCAGTGAGATATTGCAAAGGGTGTCAGTGGACTGAAACAATGTCTAGAGAGTACCATTTTGTATGACATAAACATCCTTCACATATATGTTCCTGCAATTGTAGGTGTTATGGTTTGTGTCTGGATGTTCCCTCAAAGCCTCATGAGATCATGGGGTAGGCTTTTAGAGTTTGACTGATTATAGATGTGAGAGCTACACCCACCCTGGGGTGGATAGTTTTGCATATGTAAGGGAGAAAAAGAGGCTGCTTGCTGCCATTTCTCCCTTTTGGCTCTTGTTGCTTTTGCTGTGTTCTGCTGCCATGAATATTTTCCCCCTGCCATGTGCCACTCTGCCTTGGAGCCAGGTGAGTATGGACTGAAACCTTCACCGACTGTGAGCTAAATAAACCTTTCCTTCCTTAATTTTGGGCGTCAGGTATTTTGTCTCAGCAACAGGAGAAAAGTAACCAAGATAGTAGATTGAGAATTAATGAGAAATTATTGCATGTACCCCAATTTTTAAAGCCTTAGTACTTGCAGTTTTTCAGGATCTAAAGACATAAGCCATCAATTCATAGTGATACAACCATATGAATAATGCATGTGACAGCAGCATTTAACTGCAAAACATTTTACCAGTGTTAGTCATTATACCTCTTAACCTTGGCTTAGGATAACGGATTCATCATTATTTATATATTTTTTCATGACTCACATTGGCCTGCTCTTAAGACTCAAGTTACGGCTTTCTTGCTTCTAAATTCAACTCATTTGTCCATCCAATTAGAAATAATCTCTTTTTTTCCCTATCTCACACTCAGTTTTTTTTACTACCTTCATTAAAACGTTTGTCTGTAGATATTGAATTTCTTTGTTGTACGGGCTGAGTTCCCAGGTAAGACTTCGAAAGCCCAGAAGACAGGCTCTATCCCACTCATCTTGTAAGAGCCACTGCATCCCCACTCTCTCCTCCTTGAGGAGTTTGAACCTAGTTGTATTAATGATTTCACTTTTAGTGATTTTAAAAAATGTTGATGACCTCAGTTAGATTTTAACTGTGGTGCTATTTTTTCTGACCCTTAAAACTGGGTAATTATGCCCCCCTTACATAAAAACATGTGGTTATCTACTATGAGCCAGATTTATTTTGCTCCTTTTTCTCAGCGGCACAGGGCAGTCCCTCCTGCAGTTCTTAGGGTAATACTTTCTCTCCATGCTGTCTGTGGTAAGTGGCATGCAGTGCTTTTCCCCAGTGAGAAGGAAGTCAATAGGCTGTATTTTACTGTGACAGCTGGGCCATTTGATTTGAGCCTTATTACACTTGATGGTTACCTTTAGGGAATGTCTTTTTCAATTGTTTATTTTTCAAGTTTCTTGTCAGTTCAAACTACAGAAAACAAAAGGGGAACCCTGAATTTACTAATATGCACCCAGAATACAGAAAGCACTTTATCAACTATGCACTCCAGATGACACATCAGTCTAATGAAACACGTAGGTATTTACTGAGTATTGATTTGGTCCAAGGTACCATGCCAGACAATATAAGAATGCTGCAAAAAGAATATATTCTAATAGTTCATTCATGGATACTATATTTAAAAATATATAACAGAGAGAGATATTATATGAGGATAATAGATTTAGAAATGTATTATATATATATATATTAATTTTATGAATTACCTAAAATAGAAGACAATAAGAGAACTATAAATGTCTAATTTGGGGAAGGGTTTAGTAACAGGTATAAATTTCAGGAAAGCAACTTGGCTGTACTTGTCAATTAATGAGTTTTTCATAGAAGGTGCTATTGACACATCAGGCAAACCAATCTTTATTACGTAGGAATGTTGTGAGCATTGCTAGAGATTTAGTACTCTTGCCTGCTGGACACTGTCATTGTGGCAACCAAAAATGTGTCCATATATTTCAAAATGCTCTCAAGGGTAGACATCTCAATTGTGAACCAACAGTGTGAGTCATAATGTGCCCAACCATTGAAGGTTCTTCTGCTAGATTCAGATGAAAATTATGAATTGGCAAAGTATAGCTCTGCTTGCAGTCCTGATGATACCAGATGACAGGGACAGTGTTGGGATGTCAACAGTTGGCACACTGGCTGCAGTCCATACAGATGCGGACCACTGCGGGCACAGCTGACCGACCACTGCTGGCTTATTCCAGGCACCACAGGTTGACTCTGCTGGGTGCTGATTTCTGGTGCTCCTCTTCACTGGCTGCTGGTCTCTAGGGCTCTTCAGGGCAAACAGCCCAATGTATTTAATACTCTTTCTTTTGAGAGGATTGCACAATCCATACTACTCACGATTAATATCCTGAGTAGATTTATAGAACTTTTCGCAAGCAAATTTATAGGCCTACCAAACAGGTCATTATTTTAACAGTCGGTGATGCAACATGGGGCAGGGAAGGGGTCAGTACACTGGTGGGACCCCTCCTAGACCAACCCAAGAAATATATAGGGAGTACTGCTTATATAGTAGCTTCAGGGCTGTGATTGGTCCAAGTGCAAGTCCACAATGGGTTCAACAATGGGCCTGCTGATTGGTCTAAGTGCAGTCCTGTGATTGGTCCAAATGGGTGTGGGGCTCCAGGACAGTCACAGCTGTCATGGCATGGGAAGAGGAGGGGCACATGAACTATTTGACTAGCAACCTCTGAGAAAAATGATCAGTCTGTAACAGGGAATTCTCATGAAGGCTAACTGCATTTATCACAGCTAACTGGGTTTCTAGGAGGTTAGAAATGTTAATAATGGACCCATATCTCTCCATCCCTGATATTAGCCACATTCAGATACCCAGCCATCACCACTAGCACCACTGCCCCCGCCTTCTTCAAAGAGGTAACGGCAGCACTTGAAATGACAAGAGCTGGGGGAGGAGGCAAGGGGCGCTGCATTCATTTTGGCTGGAACAACCTAGAGAAGACTGGCTGCTAAATAACCTGGTAGGCCACTTCAGCAAGTTCCCCAGTCCATTGTTGGGGAGGGAAGGCAAGGGACGTGAAAAGGAGAAGATCCATAGTTTCAGGCCAAGCCACGCCCCTTCCAACCAGCATGGGAAAAGCTGGAGAGGCAGGTACTTCTCTTCTATTTCAAGAATAGGGGAAATTATGCTGAAGGAACAAGCAGGTTTACATCTCCAAATATGCTAAAGTTTTATTTCTCACCCTACATAACTAAAGCAGGTCAGGAGGATTATTTGCTCACTAATTACAAGAGATGGAGGCAACTGAGCCTTTCATGCAAGAGGTACATCCGCAGGGCAAGAGTAGTATCTGCTAGTTCTAATTATGCTCTGTTGCAATGTGTACACCTGCACTCGCGATGGCCATGGTGATTACGCAAGCGTGTGCTGAAGAAAGGAACTATCAGAGCAAAGGCACTGAAGCAGCAGATTACAGCGCTAGCAATGTATAATTGTTGAAGGTGAAAGTATACTTCAAGCTGCAAAACCTAAATGCCTAGATTTCCAAGACCCAGTTCTGACCCAGGAAAGAAAAGAAAGACAGCAGTGAAGAGAAAACCTATCAAGAAGCCATATATATGGGAAGCACCTGGTCTCTTCGGCAGTGTAGAAGAAAAGACTTTAAAAGCTGCTATTCCATTTGTCGAGGAGACAAGGAGACTACATGAACTCACACCACTCTTGATGATCCCAGCTGGCCTGAAACTGTTTCAGCTCTGTCCTGATAAAGATCTCCTCCTGACAGCTAAGGGAAAGTTCGCCATTTAGAACATGAAAAAAGAATCAAAATAGGACAGTCAAAAATAAGGTAAGAAAATGAAAAATAGTAGAAAAATAAATGGTAGATTCATAATGACTTTTGGAAAAATACAGATGTGGAGCATATAAGAATCGTGACCAGCCAGGCCTGGTGGCACACACCTGTAATCCCAGCACTCAGGAGGATGAGGCAGGAGGATTGCTGTGAGTTTGAGACCAGCCTGGGCTACAAAGTGAGCTCAAGGACAGCCTGAACTGCATAGTGAGACCTTGTCTCAAAAAGACAGAAAAGAAAAAAAAAAATCATGACCAAAGTTTCTTCCTGAATTTTAAACCCATTAGTAACTAATCAAGTCTATGAAGGAAGAGTTCAAAGCACAAATAAAAGATCTCAGGAGTGAGACGATCAGACAGCAGGAGAAGATAAAATGTGAGTTGTCAGAGGTTAGTAAAAGCAACGGGAGGAAAAAAATGAAAACATGACATTATATTACAAGGACAAAAACAGGACTATGAAAGAGAAAAGACATTTCCATACATATATTAAGGAACAAAGATGAATAATTAATGAAAAAATAAAACATATAGCAGTATATTGGAATTCCTGAAGAAAAGAGGATAGAACAAATATTTAAAGTACAGGTCCATATCGGCAATAGTATAAGAAGCAAAAATGGCGGAGCTGTTGCTGCTCTGAGCCCACTTTAGGCTTCCAGGGAACAAGAAAGGGACCGCAGCAGGGCATATTTTCTTGTGGTTCCTTCTCCACGTTGCTGATGTGGCAGCCTACCGCTGCAGCCACTGTCCACCCTAATATCGATGGGAGTAATGAAGATTCTCTCAAACCCACTCAAAGAAGAAAACAGACTATTTGCTTCAGGGAAACATGCAGAGGCTATTTCTTGTCATAGAGAGTGATCATATATCTTTCTGAACCCATGAGCTGATGTGGTCCAGACAAGCCCATTTATCACTGGAATGACAAAGGGATCATCACATGAAGCAGTGACTGCACCTTCTGGAGGGGTAGGAAAAAGAAAATCATGCACAGAGAAAGTCCAACGGACTCTGGAGAAGGACGCAGCCCTCACTGTTCTGCTGTGGAAATTACAAGCCCAAGTCTCTTTCTTTCTTAGACATTGAGGCTCACCATGGAAACTCAGGGGGATCTTTTGAAAGATCTATTTTCACTTCAGTAGGAAGAAAAAGCTAGGAGAACCATACACTAGAGGCAGTTTCCAAAGATCTCCACTTACAAATGAGCAGACCATAAAGTGCATATTTAAGAAGGAGTTTACTGGACAAAAGAAGGGAAGCATAAGGAAAGAAAATAATCAACCAAAGGCTTAAAAGGCCAGTCTTCAAAATGAAGTCCAATAGGAAAGGATCTGTAGATGGAAGGACAATGCGGTGTGTATTTACAATGAAGTACTACTACGCATAAGGTAAGGTAAAGATGATCACTTGTAGGGAAGTGGATGCACTTTGAGGCGACGATGTTAATGAAACAAATCACAAAGACAAGTAGAAATACTGCACGGTTTATCTTAATGAGAAACCCAAAGTATGAATAAATTAAAGAGCAAAATAAAAGATAGATAACAGGAAACGGGGAGATGGGTCTTTTTCAAAAGGGACAAGAAGGAAAAGATGGAGAGAAGGGAGAAGGAAGGGAGAGGAAAGGGTGAAAAGAGAATTATGATGTTATGTGCATGCGCTAACTCCTCACGCTGCAAATGATCAGTATGTACTGCAAACAAGAACTAATAAAAAAAAAAAACTAAAAAAAGATCCATAGGTAGATGTTTACTATGTCAGAAAAAGTCAGAGTTATGGATCATCATATTTAATATGTTACCATATTTAGCATGTCATCATGTTTAGATACATCCACTTCATCAAAGATCTGGTAGGTGTTTGCAGAAAATACAAGGAAAGTCAAGGGCACTCCAATACTCATGCTTCCTGGTTTGAATTTTCTATTGTCCCAAAATTCTTTTAGAGACATTGCTGGAGGAACATTATTCTGGAGAATATTCTGGAAGGAATTTAATAAAGTAAAATGGAAAGGCATATGAAAAGAAAAGAAGAAAAATAATATATTTCATATACAATAACAACATGTGAAAAGCCAACCTGTCAGGAATATTCCAGAAGTGCAGAAGCTGTCAATATTTCAGGTTAAAAAGAGAATTCATAACTCAAGGAATGCAGCATATCTCAATTGTTGATTCAAAAAAAGGAATATAGATTTAGTAGATACTAAACTCTTTGAAGCTCAGCTGTTATATTACAAACAGTTACTTGAATACTTTTTTCAAGAAAATTATCTTTCTTAGGATATAAATGTGTAAAATTATTTTATGTAATAATCTATAATGTTGTAAAAGATAATTCAACACAAAATTTTAATATGAAAGCCTAGGGCTGTCTGTATCTATTTTGCAGTGCAAATATTATTAATTCATATGAACTATGCAGATTATACCTTTCTATGTGAATCCTTATGCACCATAGTTTGCACTACTTTAACATAAAGATAATTTAAGACTAACTGAACTATCTATATCTATTATATAAGTAAAAAACCAAATGATTAGCTCTGCTTTGTTCTTGGTCTACATAATTATTATATACGCTTTTTAAATGTAACTTTCTGTTTATTGTATAGTGCATTTTTAAAAACTGTACAATAACTTATCTTTTAAATTTAATGAGTACAAAAATGTTAGTTGGATATTTTGGTTTATAACAAAGCAAGAAAATTATTGTGCTTTATAAAGATATAGTTCAGATAAACATTTTTGAAATAAAAGATAATCTATTTACATACACAGGATACTGATTATACTTGGGAAAACTGAACAAGAATAATCAGGGAAGATATTATTGGACCCTGGGAAGGGAGGGTGGGAGAGAAAAGAAAATTATTTGGAGATTCAAGCAAGAAAGGTCTAGTCACTTACATTAAAGATGAATTGCCCTGGTTTCAGAATCCCCTACAGAAATTCTCAGTGTTAGAAAATAGTGGAGCGAAGTAACTCAAAATCCTTAAAAAAAAAAAAAAAAAAAAAAAAAAAAAAAACAAAAAGATGGTGTGTACCAAGGTGTGATACTTTGCTGTCTTAGGCCAGGGCTCCTCAATGCAGAGCAGAAACAAGTTCAGTGCAGTGTATGTATTAGTTTCCCATAGCTATTGTAACA